CAGTGTGCTATGAGGTAAATTTTGCCCGGGCAGCGGCACTATTGCCTACTCTTATATCGAATTCCAACCGAATTCCAACTGCCAAGGGATCTTTTTCGTGCATTCCAATGTATACACGGGACCTCGGTTTTTCGTCTCATCCGAAGGACTAGACAGCTGTCCTTGTCAGACCCTCCGTTCTGCACCACTGACAAGGGGAAACCACGTCGGAAAATCGGGATGAACTTTCTCGGCCAATGCAGGGATCGAACACCCGACCTCCAGGCTAGCGAGCCAGCGCCTTAACCACCTAGCCACCGTGGCTCCAACTCTCGATCAAATTAAACGTAACACACTAAAGCAAAGATACGCTAAACAGTAAATCTTATGCAAGAACCGATAGGAAAGCAAACATGGGTAGATAAACCAGCACGCGGCAGTTTTCATCAACCTTCCTTGAAGTATCAACTTTGACAATGAACCCCCCCACGTGTATGGCCCTATTGCGTGTCGCATGTGCAGCTCAGTGGTTCTGTTGGGGCTATAAGCTCTTCATCTGTGAACATACTCTCAAAGCATGTCAAATGTCTATGGCTATTTATCATATCGCAACCTGCATAGGTATTTGCATTTCAATATCACCTACTTTTTTTGAAGAGTATATATAAATAAGGCTTTGGCAATTTATATCTAAATATTGTAGGCTACTAAAGTAAAAGACAGTTTGAATGATATCATTACCTTTGTCGCTACCCATAACCCCCTACATCACAACTTCTTTAAAACAATCCTGGCATCAGACGACAACGTCAGAACGAAATTTGACAATGTTCAATTCATTGAATCACAAAGACGGCCACCTAATCTGAAACGCCTCATAACCAAAGCAAAATTAAAGCCATGTATCACAAGTTCCGGTATTTTAGGTATCTAAATGCCAAGATCTTCGATGTAAATGTTGCGACCATGTAACGCCAAATAACAAATATGGTTTTTATAACTTTAATTTCAGTGTCGGCGACAATATGAATTGTGACACAAAAAATCTCATGAATTATGTCGGAAAGACGGGCACACATCTACTGGATAGAGTGCGCAACCGACATACAGTTCGGCACAGCCACTACATTTTATGACATATAATACATAGAGGATATTTCATCGAGAAGCAAGAAAGCATGAGTGAAAATATAAACGTTTTCTTGCTTAGAGATGAAATAAAATATGTTATTCACGCCAAAACGATAAATGTTCTATTTATTTTATGATTTTACAATCATTTTAGGTGAAAACAACATGGCCTACTGCTAGCCAGTGGAATGATTTCACTGATAAAACGCGGTATTCCACTACTGATCATAAAATAAATTAAGTTACTTTACAGTTTATACTTTCATTGACAAGCACACCGTCTACACGTGAATCAACACTGACACGATTTTAATTTAATGACGGTCAATTTTATTTGCTATTTAATTTATGTTTCTGAGTAAATAAACTACTGTCTCCACCAACAATGTCATTTCATTACACCGAATTGAGGCTTTAAAGTCATCTTTGAAGCACTTACAATAAACTTGCATCCCTTGCGTTTTCGGGTCTTTTCACGGACTTGAATCGGCATATTATTATGGCACTAAGGGGCAATCGTCCAGTCTATGAATATAAGTCAGAACGACCAATAGGGAAACCAGTAAGTCCATAGTGAATCGGCATTATCGTGAAAGATGTGTTTTCTATGTTCATTACAATTGCCACATGATCATTAAATGTCCAATATATTAGATACCAGGATCCTATATTTTCACGGCAAATAACAACATCATTATTGATAGAAATTGACTAATTCTGAATTTTTTAATACGTGTTTTTAATTTCGAATTTTATAGAAAATATTGCACAGTTAAAGGGTTAGCTCCATTAAAAATCCACTTTCTTCGCCGGTTTAGTGTTTCCTTAAGGCAGTTAAGGAAGATTGAATACCTTTAAGAACGTGAAAAAGCCAATTTATCTGATCAAACATTAGCACTATATTCATTCATATATTTGTTTTTAATTAAAATTTACATCAATTTCTGGATATAAAATTTATATTTGTGTGCTCTTATTGTATTGATGTAATGGTTCTGTTATTTATATAGTTGGTTACACCTGGACTATCATGATAGAAAGTATAGCTTATGATTAATGTGTTTACCATGCTATAAAACGTGTGTATATATAATTAAAGATACATTATTCAAGAGGTAAATTTGCCTTTTGCAGATCGTTCGTTATGCTTTTATATAAATAATTAATTAGACAATTATTAATCAACTCTGGGTGCCATCGGGTGCACGAGATTTTAACTAGATTAGAGCGGTTCGGCCATTTAATGATTTAATTGAAAAACGGAGAACCAAATCCATGTCTCGAATAAACAAGTACCCAGAGCCTTGTATAAAGACAGTCCGACCAACTGACGTCATGGGCGCCATTTTGTTACCAATTCTTACGTTGCAGATAAAGCCACAGTACAGCGTATGACCGATTTATATGTTTTAGATCTACGCGAATGTATTTCTGTGTCCACTCAAGTGTAGGCGTAGACAATAATTTCAATAAATCAATTATCACAATATGTAAATTTTATTGACAATATTTATTTTTTTATTATTATTTTTTATAATAATACAAATACCACAATAATTCAATAATTATATCGTTTGACTACTACAGATTAAATCGAAAGTATCGAATAATGATTACCTTTGAAATTAGAAACTATTTTTTTTTATTTAATTTGTATCGTATGTTATTACCCCGCTCCGTCAATCCGGATTTCGTTTCCGATTTTTTTGTTTAATTTGACATTAAAAATACAGCAATAATCCAATATATCGCTTGACTACAGATTAAATCGAAAGTATCGAATGATTACCTCTGAAATTACAAACTTATTTTTTTTATTTAATTTTTATCGTAAGTTATTATCCCGCGCCAAACGGAAGGGTATTGAAACGGGCCCCGTTCATGCCAATTTCGTTTTCGAATTTAAAAAATAAAATTGAAATTAAAAATACCACAATAATCTAATATATCGTTTGACTACATATTAAATGTAGAAACAGCAAATAATTTTCTGCATCATTAAGTCTAGTATTATCGTTCCAAAATACATCTAAAGCAGCAATAAGTATGTTTTCACTTTCAATTGTTGCTATTTATGCCAATCAAGGGACATAACATATATTTTTCTGGGCATTACAATAACGGGGCATTAGTAGTTCTTTATTGGGGGATTCGATCAGTTAGGATTTTTGCATAATCAAAGCAGCAATAAAGCTATTGTTTCCTCCATCAAATAGGTATGTTTTCACTTCAAAAGGGTATAAAATTCCATGCTGTTGACATAAACTAAAGGGACATAATGTCCATGAAACAAATATCGCCATCCAAAATTATGTACCTTCAATTGTAAATAACAACAAGGTGGTGACTTTTCTTGACTATTTTGAAGTGAGAGAAGAACAGTTTTATTGCTGGTTTGGATACATTTTGAATACTAGGCTTTATGTGTTTGTACGTTGTTATCCAAAACGTTCCACGAAATAAGAAGAATTGAATGGTGTTGGCATAGTTATTGTCTCGGCTAAGACAGTTTTTCTCTTATTTATTTAGAGCAAAAGTATATCGTGGTTGGCTTATTTCATCTAATTAGTAAAATAATATGTAACTGATCAGACATAATTGTCTAGCAATAACATTTTCTGTAAGCTGATAGTGAAAAAAAAACCTCAATCAGTCAGGAGGTAATTGGTATATTGGCTAGTTAACCGGACGTGGACACTTTGCTTGATCCGCCATATACTGGATGTTGGCGTGGCCTGCCTGTGCTTTTTGGGGGATCACGTGGCTAAGTGGGTAAGACGCTGGCTCGCTATCCTGGTGGTCGAGTGTTCGATCCCTGCATTGTCCGAGAAAGTTCATCCAGATTTTCTGGCGTGGTTTCCCCTTGTCAGTGATGCAGGACTAAGGGCCTGACAAGGACGAAAAACCGAGGTCACGTGTACATATTGGCGTGCATGTAAAAGATCCCTTGGCAGTTGGAATTCGATATAAGAGTAGGCCGTAGCGCCTCTGCCCGGGCAAAATGTCCCTCATAGCACACTGTATGGCGTATGCCCGTTCATTAGCCCAGTTTAGGAGCAGAACAGGAGGACGTTAAACCCCATTTCATTTCATTTCATTTATGTGTTTTTGTTACTCCTAATTGAAAACTAGAATGGTGGTTCTTTATATAGGCCGTTAACTTTTTTTTATTTAATTGTTTCTGTAGTTTTGTAATCGGACTTCAGCTTTAAGTGGGCGTTGATATTTTGATAAAAGACTTAGGCTATCGCCTCCGTGAAGCTCAATCCATTAGGCAATAGCTTGCATTTACACACGAATATTAGTCAGCTATGACACCAGCAATCACGTTATTTCGTGTTATCGCCACTTAACCTTCAACAAATATTTGCAATCATGGTTCAAAGGCCCATCATTCATTTTCTCAGGCCAATATAATTTGAATTTTGGTTGTACAGGGTTGTGATAGCCTGTAGTTTCTTTTTAAAATGTTTATATCTATGATTTATATCAAAGTAAAGGACTGACAATGTTTGATCTAATCTGTTACATCAATTAGTGATGAGGCGAGCTCTGAATTTTTATTTGGAGAGAAGCGAAACTAGGCGTTGTTACCAATTTTACTTTAATGTTGTTCTTTCTGTGTAAAAATCCCCATAGGTACAGATGTCATTTAGTAAATAAATGGACACCTAAAATGAACTGTGTGATGTTTAATCCAATCAACGAGGTTTAGTCATTAAAAAAAGAAATTTGCAGCTAAGAACTTTGAAAAGAAGCAACCAAGTATTTATTTTAATTGAATTTATGAATTTAATGAAATGAGATCTAACGTTTTACTGTTCTCCGAAGAAATGGGAAAACAAACTCATAATGGATGCTCCCAAAGAATTAAAATTGTTGTGGCCTAATACAATACGGAGTAGCCCGTATGGTTATTTATTCGCCCTCGTTTATCGTCTATAGGGTAACCAACAGTCAAGAGTGAATTAAACTAAGGGTTAGCCTCTTGCAGGTAATTTCTTATATCACATTGCTTAGTAATTTATAGACATTTCTGTGTTTTGCGATATGTTTTTATATTGAATATCTTCACTTGAGTGGCATTTTTGTTCCGTTCTCATTTGTCATCGATCTTTCTGTTGTACGTCTTACAGGGGAAGTATTTTAAGGACATTTTAATTCTTTGGTAACTACTACTAGATTTCACTTAAATATACGTGACTATCTGTAAGTTAAGGGTAAGTGGTATTCAAAGGCAATGTCAATTATGCACTTAAAATTAAGTTACTAAAAGTGTTTAAGTCTTTTGGGGTCGTATTCTAACGCCAGTTTAAGTTAGAAAATTTCACCTACCTATGGGAGATACCTTAAAGCGGATATTGCAAATTTTTAAGTTATATTTTTAAAATTTATTAAAATAAAGCCTGAAAATAGATGGTATCCATAAACAGTCCTACCTTGTTAAAGAATAATCCTATTAATCCTATAATTCACTATTGCCAGCTGAGAAATTGGCAAAAATATCATTTTCCTCTTCATTTTCAAACGTTTGAAAAAAGCTACTCCATGGTGGAGAATAGGAAACGAGGGAGGTAATTGGGGGTAATTGTGTTATTATTTCCTGTGTAAATGAGTTTTAAGTGTGAGAATGACACCTATGATCGTATAATTGTGAGTTGACAACCTATTGAGCAAAAGACATAGACATAATTACGTTTTGATTTTCTTAGAAAATTTGCAATTTCCGCTTTAAAGTTAAGTGAGATTATAATGTGACTTCTTTTAATTGGAGATCATAATGTAGTATCAGGCCCGTAAAGACGATTGTAAGAGTATGAGGACTGAGGTTAAAAAAAGATAGTGTCGGAAGCTTTGATGTCGAAGTTAATCGTGTATAAGGTCAAGGATATATTTTTCCGATCATTTATCAAGTTCGTACGTCTTAATCATGTTTTACACGGAATTTATATAATTTTTGATGCGTTCGATTCATAAAATTTGACATTGTGATGGCATGTCAATGTAGAATTCAGCAAAAATGTATACTACCATATACATATTTGAAGTAAGCTGCAGATTGACAGTAGTATATTTTGAAACATGCTCTTTTTTTCGTTTGTCTATAAAATTACAAATATACAATGATGACTTATGACCAGAGCTTGGCACCATTGTTTTACAATTATTAATTGTGTTTCAATCGGTAATAATAATTCAGGCATAACATAACGCTATGTGTATGTGAATCCCTGTCTTGTCTTATGGAATACCCTCAACTGCCAAAAAATCACGAATTTCAAAGGAAAGCTATGTTCCCCTTTAGAACACCACTACTGTAGAAAATATATCCTTGGTCAGTTCAGTGGTAGTAACCTTATATATACACTATTACGCCACTACAAACTCAAAATTGAAGCCAACTACACTCGGTGACATTGTATTATTTCAATCTTAGTCCCATGCATACTTTTAAAATAGTCTTTACTGGCCTGCTACTAGATGTTGTTTAGTCAGATTAGAAGCCATTATATTCAGACTCAACTTTAAGGTACTCTAACACTACCCGTCGGTCGAATAGGATAAGCGGGGCCGAAGGCTTACTACACCTGCCGTGTGACAAATTCACGGCTATACACGTCTTTGTTTCTGCCTTGATTGTCTGATATATATCAGAAACACTAAGATTTTCTAACATGCGTTTGATATGGAAGCAGGATATACAGTTACAAGCAATAGTCTACATAATACATAAAAATAACATGTCTGTAATTTGCTCATCTCAATCCTGCAGCTGGCTAGACTTCTGGAAAACACTATATATACGCCATGGTCAGAATTCAAATGGTCGTCAGATATTCTATAAACCTAATTTGGGCCTTTTATATTCACCGATTTCTCGTATTAATTATGGAATTGGCAAATTACGCCCAATGGCGTAAGAATTAGCCTTGATAGAATATCACTTGCCCTTAACTTACACGACGTTACGTATATTTAAAGATGTAGTATGTAAGATTTAGATAAAGAGCTGAAAGCCCATGCTATATTAGTTTTATAAAAAAAATAATGAAAAAAGGGAACATATTAAATTATTTTTAATTTCTTTCTGGGTGTAGTTATGACCGTTTTACGATAATAAACAATTCTCGATTATCCATTTTTTAATTAAATTATAAACTGGTAATCATGTTTAAATCCACTAAAAATCAAGACCATGCCGATCTTTTAGAGAGCTGATTATGGGCTTGGCATGTGAATAAATGTCTAATTAATGATATATTTAACATTTGAGGCCAAACGGAAGATCTGCATTAGGCAGATTTAGCTTTTACATAGTGCATCGTTAAGTGACATCTAAGTCCTACTTAAACTAACGATTTTCTTTGAATACGAGCCCTGGTCGTTCGGGTCGGTAACCTAACCACATTTGTATACGTCAACATTTTAAACGGGTGTAAATTGTCACCACATTCCTGCTGTTCACATTTGATATAAACGCTTAATAGGCCAGAATCATTTATATTTATTTTAAAACTTATTGGGATTGTTGAATTCAGTAACAGGTCTAACCCGTGATATTCCCTACTCAATAATCATGTAACCACCGACTCTCCTAGAAGGGCTCGCAACTGAGAGAGAAGTCAATTCTATTCCAAACTAAACGTTTAGTTTCTATTTATGGCCATGGGTCCATACAGGTATTCTACAACCATATATAGACATTTAGGCAAGACTAACAATGTATGCTCGAAAATAGACTCGCATACGGATTTCCTCGGGGCTACTGGACCGTTGTTGTTCGTAGTGTTAAACATATGTCGCAGACAAGTTTTGGTATACTCAGCGCATGCGCTGGGATCTTTCCCGATCGTAGATCAGAGGTGACAGGTCCCTCCCCTCAAAGAATAAATTGTCAATAGTGCTGGGATTGTCTGCCTTATCGATTTTTAAACATTATTGCCACGACCCTTTTTGTCCATCAGTCTGAAGTGTCAGAAATTTATAGTTTTTTTCCTACTGCGCTGGAATATGGTGGTTACAAATAAGAACCAATCTAAATTTGCTGGGCTTGTCGGGAAAGTCTGACATGATCTATACCTGAAGTAGACGTTTAAATTCTCTATAACTTCTGTTAAGGCACGATCTTATTAAACATCTCGTTTATTCAATATGTTCTTTACAAGCTACACATGATCCGTGTTTAACACTAGACAGAACTTCAAAGAGAATGTATTAGTGGTCAGTGCATCATACCTTGACCTGACAATGACTTCCAAAGAAATATGCAGTGTAATTACAAACACGATAATTTGATAATAAACAATACCATATATGATTATCACTCCTGTCCACCTGCCCTAATTGTTAAACTCTACATAAGCAGGCGTTCTCAATAAAGGTCTTATCAATTATGATGATCTTCTGTTATCTGTAAGATAGTGTTACAAAAGTCTGTTATGGAATTCTCTAGTACAATGTGGGAGTCATGTATCAATTACCACTAAGGTAATGTGTTTGACACAGAAATCCTGAAAACGCTGTACCGATCTACGTTTTAAACATTTTTTTTTTATCATACTAGACATAAAGAAGTGGCCTAACAAAACTTAGTTTCGTCCATATATTATGCCCCGCGTAATTGTGGCTCCTGGGAATCCCCATACAGATTTTTAGGAAAATGATCGAATTATTTGCAATGATCTTAGAATAGATTATTCCTTTGAACCCACTTCCTATATCACAAATACATATCGCAAATCAACGAGGTTTTCAACTTGAGATTAAATTGATTTTGCTATAGTATTGGCTTAATTTCTAATGCACTGGTTCTCAACCTTTTTTTGTCGACGGCACACTCTGGAACACATGAAAATATGTCGGTAACCCCTGGCTAAATATATAAGAAAATACAACCGTAGACAGAGGCTAGTTATAGACACATAGAATGACTCAAACTAAATAAAGAACAACACAGCTATGAACTTATCAGTAGACGCCAGTGAATACTCAATTGTGATCACGTGTTTTTTATTTCACATTTTCTTTCTATGCCGTTCAAAATTTCGCGGCATACTTAGGAAGATCTCGCGGCACATCTCGTTGAGAATCACTGTCCCAATGCATAAAACTTATTTGCAGACCTTATTTTTGTTTTAAATTAAATAATGTTTGAGTTTGCCCAATGATATTGAGCAATAATACCTGTTCTCGAATGGTGAGATTTTTTACATTCAATTTGATATCGATACACTATTAATTATCTAGTTTTTTATATTAAGAAATAAGTGAAATAAAGTGTTTCTGTATTTTCCTTTTTTTGGCGGTGACGGTGGTTAAGACGCTGGCTCGCGAGCCTAGAGGTCGGCCGTTGGATCCCAGCAATGGCCGAGAAAGTTCATCCAAATTTTCTGGCGTTGTCAGTAATGCAGGACGGAGGGCCTGACAAGGACAACTGTCTAGTCGTTCGGATGGGACGAAAAACCGAGGTCCCGTGTACAGATTGACGTGCACGTAAAAGATCCCTTGACAGTTGAAATTCGATGTAAGAGTAGGCCGTAATGCCGCTGTCCTGGCAAAATTTACCTCATAGCACACTGAATGGCGTATGCCCATCTTCATTAGCCCAGCTCAGAGCTGAACAGTAGGACGTTAAACCTCATTTCATCTCATTTTGTATTTTTCTTTTCAGAAAATCGGAATTTACATTTACGCCTTTTAGGCTTTAGCACTTTGGTGAAATGAAGCTAAAATTTGGTACCTTCCTTATTTACTCTTTGGGAATCATCCTTATTGGCATCGCTTTAATTAAATCATATTCATACTTCAACAAGACCCCCGGAATGATAAAGGCATTGCCTGGATTAGAAAACAACAACGGAAAACGGCTAACCAACCAATCGTGTCCTGATATACATGTGATATGTACTATGCCTTTACTCACCAAGCAAGCCCTCAATACAACAAGGTACAACTTCTCCACGGTTGAGAAAATACAAGAACGAATGTCAGAGTTTATGGCAGGATTACAGAGGACTCTCAACCATAAGTGTGTCTATCGTGTTCATTTGCTATACAATCAATCTGCATTAGTTGATTATGTTAAAGCGAACCTCAAAAAAAGTGTTAAAAAATTAGTGTTCAATTACGTTCCAGATCCACGACTGCATACCGCATACTTCGATTTTGCCTTTGATAATCTACAAGACAAAATTGTCATGTATACACCCATCGATGTCTATCCAGGAGACGGGTTTGAGTTAATTAATAAGGATGTTATGGTGGAAAATAAGTTAATGTACGTCTTAACCAGACATGGCAAGCAGGAGAAAAAATGTGACATGCAAAAAGAGGCGTCATCTAATAGCTGTGATGATGGTCGATATATGGGATCTCACGATTCCTACATTTTTGTACCAATTGGGAAATTTCCAGCTGATGTTAAAAAAGAACTGACTGTTACGTCCATAGATTATGGTGTAGAAAATATGTCAATTTGGGCCTTCAGGAATTTAGGACATTATAAAGTGACAAACCCTTGTAAAGTTCTTAAAGTGTATCATTTACATTGTACGGGACTACGTGATGGAAGGCGAAAACGTATTAATACTGGAAACAACACTGGAATGGCTCGTCCTACAGATCAGTTGAATTAAAACACTGGTTTAGCTACTCCCACAGACCGACTAGATTAAAATGTGTATGACATAGCATGGGAGATAACTATGATCGAATAAAGTGCTTTTGGAAAACTTGAGATACAAAAACTGGACGTAGAGACCTTTAAACATACAATCTTCCGCCCTAATTTTAACCTAACCATCCTCTTATCTCTTTTATCCTCACGCCTCAAAATCATGAATATTCACCAAAACCTGACAGAAAATGTATATTCAAACCTTTTTCTTTGATTCTACACGAATAAGTCAACAACGATCGCCATGCAAAAGTGGGGTGGGTCCATGGTGACATATAAAGGGCGGATTTAAAGGGCCAATCCCGATAATATTTTGGAGAATAAAACTGGTTACTTTTTTGTGAAAATCCCTTAAAATACTCTACCTTAGGGCCGAGCAACTAACTCAACCTATTTGATACGTTTTGAAACACCTTAAACCCGTCAGTCTTAATCTGGAAGTGGGGACCGGTGCCTCAAGCTGTATTATGCGGTGTCTGGAGAAAACCAGACTTTTATTTTATAAGAATAATGTGTAGGTGAAATTTACCTTTCGTTATCAAGTACAGCACATGGGTCATTCACTGTATAAATCTCTAAAGGAACGGGAATCGATTATCAGGTCACCCAACGAAAGAATTGACCCAAAATCTTAAAAGGGTTACGTGTCCGGATAAGCAGTTTTGACGTTCACGGCCAAATGACTCAATATTTTGCGCTTAAATTTCATACCTAATCGGACTTTTATTTTTGAGACTCTATTCAATTCGGGATAGTCCCTTTAAGTGGAATTCTTCGTGTAGACAAACACGTGAAATCAACATTCTGTCATGTAACATTTCGGTAACTATGAAGTTTTAAAGTAATTTGTTCAGATAAATTACCCCAAAATACACTTTCATTTGTCAGATAAGTGTCTATTATTGGCAAAAATGTACGCTTTTCGTCTGTTATGGACAGTTTTATAAATAATAGACGATTGTTTAAGAAAAGGGTACATTCTCCTATGTACTGGTTAAAAACATCAAAGGGTGACGCCATATCTATGTTTAAAACATAATTATGGGATTACTGGGAAACGATTAAAATACAGGTTACAGACGCTATGCATAGTTATGAGCTTGCTGTTACAGGGTGTGATATTATGATAATTAAATATTAAATATGTCCGACTAAACGGCGTAGTCAAATAAAAAAAAGAAAATGAAATATTGCCGATCAGTGGCGATAGCGTAGAATTATTAACACATAAGCGAATATTTAAGGGCCAAACTCGATTATATTTTGGAGAATAAAACTGCTTAATTTTGTTTTAAAAGCCCATTAAATCCTTTACCTTAGGACCTAGCAACTAACTCAATAAACCCGTCAGTCTTCATCTGGAAATGGAGACCGTTGTCCCAAGCTGAATTATACGAAGTCTGGATAAAACCAGACTTTAATTTTAAAAAAAACTTGGAGGTGAAATTTACCTTTCATTATTAAGTACAGCACGTGGGTCGTGCACTGTATAGACCCCTAAAGGAATGGCGATATATTATCAGGTCACCTAACGAAAAAATTGATCCAAAATCTTAAAAGGGTTACGTGTTCGGATAAACGGTTTTGATGTTCATGTCCAAACGACTCAATATTTTCAGTTGAAATTTTGAAACAAGCTAAATACACCATTCCTCTATATTTCGGCGATTAAATTTCATACATACACTGACTTTTATTTCTGAGACTCTGGTAAAATCGGGATGGTCCTGACATGAATAGAAGACATGTCTTTAAATTTTTTGCGAAATTTCCGGTAGTTGTATTTTTTACAGAATCATAGACACCGATAATGGACTGTTTTCGTTGATATAAAAATCGAGTCACTGTCTATTGATTTTACATCGTATATCTGCATTAAGATGCATAACGCTCCAGCATAAAGATTTCGAGGCGAATGTGTCGTATTACTACGAGAATCCCAGGAGACATGCACGGTGTTCCCAGATACAAATGGGGAATCTGGTTTACTTAGTTATTAAGCCTTCTAATAACTCTGTATATAAGTTAAGTAAGCCTTCTACATTGCTCGGTGGCGCATGCATTGTTTACATTTTAAGATATTGAAGCGTACGCCCATCCGGGCAGAATGGTGCCTTTTACCCATTGTATATACCAATTACACTCAATACGAAATATTTTTATCTGGATATATTTCAAACACCGTTATTTAATTTTCAAATACTTAAAAGAATTTTATAGAATTCGCAGTGGCTATTGTTACGACGAGTCGTAAAAATAGTCCTCAGGCTATTGTTACGACGATGCTTTCAGAGCCCTCCATCGTCAAAGTTTAGGCCCAGATCCAGGATTTTGTCGAGGGGGGGGGGCATACACTGGAGAAAAGGGTAATCATCAGAGTGCCACATGCATTAGTGGTTTGCATTAGTGGCGTGGGCTGAGAGGGGGGCACGGTCCCCTGGATCCGGGCCTGTAGTGTAGTTGAAATCCATTGATTCAGAGGAGTAATAGAAATCGATGGTTGTAACAATAGCCACGGGACTATTTTTACGACTATTCAGTATTTTACCTTTACGATGGAGGGTGCTGAAAGCATCGTCGTAACAATAGCCTGAGGACTATTTTTACGACTCGTCGTAACAATAGCCACTGCGTTTAGAATTTAATTTGCAGAAGTAATAAAGTTAAGTGCGATGAAATTAACCTACACCGATGTCATCTCTCACTCTAGGATGATTGTGATTTCTTTGTGGTTATGAAGATTACTAAGACTAATAATTATTTCCCTCTATTTCAATGTTAAATGTAGTGCGAGTTATAAATAGACAATTTTTCCCTTAATTTTCTTCTCCCCCTTTCTTGCTTTTTTGGTTGACCTTTTGGTTTAGAATTGGAGAAAAGGAATCAAATTTGCAGTTTCATAGCAGTTTGGGTAATACTGGTGATATTATAGTGGAGGGATAGGGGTGTATTTGTGCAGAGCAATCATTACTTCGGAAGTGACATTAAGAACTCAATTAACATCAAATCTTCCAAGCAAAAAATCTGAACGGGAAACCCTGTACAAAATTATGATGAGGAGAGTGCCAAATACGGTCCCCTATGTGTCTATAGAGATTGGAACCTTTGGTGTTACAGCCATTTTACATTGAAGTCAATGGGCAAATAATTGCTAGTCTGAGTCCATTTAATGGGAACATATATTATGTGTTATCTCCCTTGGAATGCAGTTTTCGGGCTAATATCATCGAAGCTAAATTAAACGCGAGAGAGAGAGAAATGGGGTTTAACGTCCACTCGACACAAACTAGGTCATTTCGGGACCAACACATGATTCAATTTTATTTCAATAATTCGCTTGCGCCTAGGGGTCTTTAGCAGTGGGAGGAAACCGGAGGACCCGGAGAAGTCACGTAAAACCGGGGAATCGAAACCCCGCAGTTGACTCAATGACAGACCGTATGATACAGCGCGAGCGTGCTAACCATTCGGCCATCCAACCCCCCTAAATTAAACGCGGTATTTTTTTTTTTTGTCTCCGTTAATGATTCTGGTCTGTCATTGTCTGCATTATTAATTATCTTTCTTTCAATCATTGACTCATTCCTGGAGTCTTTTTTGCTATTTTTGTCAAACTTTAATAGCACAATATTGTTATGAATCACACACCGTGAGATACCAAATAAAAGGTAGTCATTTTCACAGCATGAATATTAATATCATTTACAGATAAAGGTGTTTACTTCACCGAATTTACGTTGATAATTTACCGTCTAACATATTTAATACACGACAGGTTTGATCTACATGTTGGTAAAAAATGTCATAAAGTTTTCTTTGTGTATCCTTTGAAAAATCCAAGGACGTTCAAGATGTAATGAAAACTATTTCCGAGCTTTGGGCATAGCCCTGTGGCGGTATTTGGTAAATATGGTGGTATAGGATAGTAATCGTGTTGCCGTATTCAGCTGGTCTACGGGTTCTGCGTGGCACAATCGCAGGGCTTACTGTTTCCTGTTTAAAGATGTATGACTAAAGCACAACATTATATGAACTGTCAATTATTTAGAATATAAAATTTTCGTTATAGAAATTATAAATCAATTTTACACCCTGTGGTAATCTAACATTCTTTTTATCACCACCATGTTGACACAGTGGGAGTTCAATTGATATCAACCAAGCGTTATAAACTCTTGGTGCTTCAAAATCCTTACAAAAACGTATTAATATATGGTAATATACACATAATTTGATTGATCAATGAACTCGTGAAATCTTAATACCAGCTGTAAAGAAAATCACTGGAGAACAGGAATAAACATCTCAGTTTAATCATATTTGGGTGGGGGGTTGGATGGCCGAATGTGTTAGTCCCGAAATGACCTAGTTTGTGTCGAGTGGACGTTAAACCCCATTTCTCTCTCTGTCTCTCTCTCTCTCTCTCTTAATCATACTTCGACGTAGAAGAACATAACCCCCGAATCCATCTTGTGGAGTCAATTATTGCAGTCTGGATTCATCCCATGAAGTTCACGCCCCCCCCCCACCCATTATATACTTCATTTTATTGACTCCCGGAAATCACCTTGGGGATGCAGAGGTTTAATAAAGGCTATCAACATACACACCCACCCACACACCAACAGGGATTCACATTGTGAACTGAAAGACGACGGACTTAAATTACAATAGTTGTCTTTTAAGACAGTAATCTTCCTTCAATAAATAAGGTACCTAAATAAAGAAATGAACAAATTGATTTACACTGTCTTTTAAATTACTAAAAACATTCAATCTTTTAAATTATTAAAAACATTCAATCTTTAAAACGTCCCGAAGTCCTCAATTTAGCGATGGGTTCCTCGTTATTTACTAAGCACGTATTAAACCATTCGGACCATTTTCCACACGAATTCTTCTTCTCGGTGTCATAGCATCTACTTTTCAAAACATCAAAATAAACCGTACCAGTATCCAATGATAATTTAGTGTTAACCTGTTGCAAACAATTTCGAAATTTGCTCAGGCATCCACAAGAGTAAAGTGGCCACGGAAAGCGGTTAAAAAGACCCACCTTCGTTGTAAGCACTGAAAAGGTAAATTAGGAGAGGGATTAGATATATTGTTACAGTTGATGCATAATTATGTCGACACTATTAAACTGGACAATAATCGGTTTAATTAGATCTTCCCCCCCCCATCCCGATGATGTTGGTTGATGGACTATTTTCACCGAATCTTATACAGATTCGGGCTCTGTCATAACTTATGATATAATTAAATCGAAGGTTGACTCGACCCAGCGTCTTGCGGTATTGAATCTTCCATGACTTCGCTAAGGATTTTCTAAGCCTGCCCGGTGTCGCTTTTCATACGCCCACATTTTCATGTGGACGTATATTGAAGTCGCTCCAGTCCGTCCGTCCACAATGTGTTTGTGGACAGTCTACAGGTCACAATTTTAATCCAATTTTGATGAAACTTGAAATGTATGTTTATAACCCAACGAACTCGGTTCCTTTCGGTATTCGCGCATATCGGATCGTAACTTCCTAGATTAAGGCCCCTGATTGTATAAAAAATCGCGATTTTAGCTTGTGGTCCCTCTAGAGGTCACAATTATTATTACGATTATCACGATTACACCATAATGACGGTTGAGTTCGAATTTCGTGAAAATCGGACCGAAACTGCCCGTTTGCAAATATTTTAAAAGTATGGTATAAAATCAAGATTTTAGACCCTCTAGAGGTCACAGTTTTTATCCAATTTTGATGAAACTTAAAATATATTTTTAAATCCCAAAGACCTGGGTTCCTTTCGATACTTGCTGTTTTAAAGCTGGTTCTCTGTCAATCTCTTGCAAGATGTTAACGTGTCTTGCATGACAATCGCTTGTTATTTGATCAGGCAACATATTTTTCAGGATTTATTACAAAATAAATCAGTTGTATACACCTTCCACCTTTTTTTCTCGGACATACCAAAATAGAATGAATACTTACTGGGAATATTGTTTTTACATGAATGAAGTTTTTTACAACAATTATCAGTTTTTGTGTTTTTCGGATCAACTGTTCTGTTTACTACCGAATCGGGATCAGAAGAACACCAAACAGTACCTGCAAGTACACATGTAGCAATAACTTTCAATATTCAATAACAATAGTTTAACAATGATTGGATATATGTGGCAACTAGTCTTATAAAGTTGTTTCCATTTGTCATGTCATTTTGTTTACATTCACACAATGTTAAAGCCGAACCATATCTTTATGAATATTGTGTCCAATTAACATGACAATGTTTTCGACAATAATGACTCAACCAATCACAGTGCCTAAGATTAGACCCCAAAGAGAGCACTTAATTGGTCAATAGATAATTAAATTCTCTTACCGAGTATGCTAATCAAATTAAAATTAAGATTAACATCGCATTTAAACTGGGGTTGCTAACTGTTTATTAGAATATATGATTTTAAACGTTGAAGTGGTGAACTGTTTTAACTATATGGAAATAATCGCACAAGCAGTTTTTAATATGTAAATAATTCACGGGTCCAGCAGCTATATGTTTTTTACTGCGAGAACTTCGCTTTTACATATAAAGCAAGAGAATTCTTTTTACCCAAGGTTTTTCTTTCTATCTGCACTGATGACTCCAACCATTGCAGTCAGCTAGACCTCCTGCTTCCTGTTTTAACATGTTTTTATTGTGACAAATGGGCGAGATGAACCGCCTTCTCTTCTCAAGACAGCAATTTTAACACCGTGTTTTAAAGTAACTTTTTAATATAAAGAACTTGTTTTGACCTTTTTTATATTACGCCTTCGTATATATGTAAATAATTTAATCAAATGAACCTGTCCATAATATCATATTACAATGTACTGGACGTTAAATATATATAAATAAAATCAACGAAGTGTGTGTTTATGTTCGCCCATAACGCTTTGCTGCGCACTCTATCTCTCACAAGTGGTATCAAATTAACCAGCGTGACCCCGTAAATGTTTTAGACCAGGCCAATTTTGGGCCCCAGTAGAATTGGGTCCACGGACGAATTTGCGCTCCTGGCGAATTGGGCAGGTATTCTGCTAGTTTGAAACAAACAGCAACTGTTGATGGCGCATTGCTAACCTTATTCCGAAGTAACTAATTAATATGTTGCATGGCTGTGCAAAACAAAATACATTCTAATCACCCAAGTTCAGTATATAAATAAAAGACGTTTTAATCATACAAGTTCATTATATAAACAAAAGACGTTTTAGTCATTCAAGTTCCGTATATTAACAAAAGACGTTTAAATCCTACAAGAACAAGATATGGATCAAATAGCTTTTAGATACAGAAGGTCATTCTCACGGAAGCTTGTGATGTGGTTAATAAGGAATGATTTCTCTCGCAACCAGAATGGTCAGTTCTCAATGATTATGTTGTCGATTTTAATTAAGTCCCACATGTGCAGACATTAATGGTAAATGCCCCGAGTACCACTATAACATATTTATATTTCATTACTTGCCTTCATGACCTACGTGAAATCGTATGCGCTTCTTCACATCCCGTATCAGTGAATCTGGATCATCCAGTTTTCGTCTCAACTACAATAGAGTGTACGGAATAATATGTATCAAAGGAAATTCATGCAATTGAATATAGTGGTGCTTTATACAAAGAATCGGAATGTCACTAGGCGTTTTCATTACCATAATTAGCCTATAGATATGCGATAAATTAGATAAGTATATTAGGGAGAAGTTCGAATTTATATATTAAATATAATAAGTGATACTTATAATCTAATAATCTAGATAAAACCTCATACTCACCCCATTAACCATTTACCACACTTAACACGCACACTTAGCAACACGGACGACCGTTTCAGTGATCCACTCCAAAAAATCGATACACACTTTCTGCATGGGGTTAGACGGGGGGGGGGGGGGTGACTTGTCCGACGGACTTGAACAATTTAAAAATTGTATGTACTCTGAATTCGAAGCTAGCCATACCCGAGCTTCATGAGGCAATATTCTTAGTTTCTGATCGATGCTTAGGTGCAATTATTTCTGTTCATTTGATTCCATATATAGGACAAAATTCAATCCGTATAGTTCGTAGCTCTGGGAATTTTTCAAAACTTTCTAGAGGAAGTCAACTACTAGAAAATAATTAAATTGCGCATTGATTAAGCTCTTTGAAAATATATCATATGTTCAATTTAATCCGAGTCCCATTGTGTACACGGGCCCTCTGAACTTATCTCGATGAACTTTCTTTGTCAGCACAGGGATCGAACACAGGACTTCCAGGTTAGCGAGCCAACGTTTTATTCACTTTTTTAGCTACTTTATTTAAAAAGATAGATATGCTTTCTTGTTAGATAATATTATCTTAAGAGTACAAATGTTGGGTAGTCAAGAGTTATTACTGTCGGTATTTTGTTAATTAAACTGCAAAAAATAAGCTCTTTGATTACCACCCCAAGTTTTATCTTCTCTAAATATTATTGTTGGCAATTCTAGCCATGAATGAGTTCGATGGTGTATATTTTCACTTCACTCATGCCAAGGTAGTTTTTACGTATTAATTTATCTTCCTTTTTGTTGTCTTTTGGAAGATAAACATGATTGATGTTTTGTTCAATTAAAACAACGTGGGTGTAAAGGTTATTTCTAAACGTACAACTAAAGTACATGTAGACGTATGAAACTATAGAGATCATAAGAGGTGAAATGGCAGAAATTATTTATTAGTGTCCCTTTCCTGTAAATGATTTTACCAGAGACATTTTCTGTGTGTGTTAAAGGGGTATTATGTAAGATTTAGATAAAGAACTGACAGTTCTCGCTATAATAGTTACATAACACATAATGACCAGGGATCATGTTGAAAATTTCAGTCAAAGTACTTCACTCTGAACCGAGAAATCGCCGGTACAAGAACAATGAGGCATCGATTATCATTGCTACCGTTGTTACGCTAATAAATAAAGTCTCGATTATCCATTTTTACGTTAAATCATTAAGCGTACATCGTATTTAAATCTGTTGAAAATCTAGAGTATCCGGTGGCATCAAGAGTTGATTATCGTATTGGTAAGTTAATTCATGTTTAATTAATAATTTATATAAAATTTAAAGCATACAGAAAGACCTGCGATAGGTAGATTTAGCACTTGCATAATGCCTGTTTAAAAGTCCTTGTTTATTATAAAATGTTTACAGATTGTCGTTTAGATAACAATAATTTATTATGAAATATATACGTATAAAACAAACCCTTTTAAAATATCATAAATGTAGATAGTGTAATAGGGAAATACATAGCACGAACTCGTTTGATACATGGTTTTATTTGATATTTTAAAAGTACCTATTTATGTGACAAACCTACACCCCTTATTATCCTATCTACTTCAAATCCGGGGAACGAAGAAACACTTTCAATTATGCAAATAAAACTGCAACATTCTATAACAGTCGTTCTGAATAAATATTTATTTTGTTTAATATAAACGTATGATGGTCTCAAGTTCATTTTGATCTAAAGGTTACAGTTTGGGCACCGTGACACCTACAACAATAGTCGTATTTTTGTGGGGGGCTTTTTTGTGTGGCATGTGAATAACTGTGAGCTCCTATCTGACCAAATTTATCTGAAATCGCCCTTAAAATTCCTGTTAAAGAAAAGACAGGTTATTTTGCTTAATAATAATAAATACTCTATGAAAAATACTTATGTTTTGAAAACTTTTGAAAAAATATTAAAGTTCATAGACCATAAAGGCTTAATTTATGTAATAAATGTCACTACAATGGACGATGCCACCCATGATATGGTAGATGTCCATTGATTATGGTTGATAGCCCTATAACGAAATTTAAGTAAGTAGGTGAAAGAAAATTGGGATTTTTGAAAAATTGGGCTAGGCAAAGCAATAAATGACTGAAGATTTCACCCCCCCCCCCACAGGCTTACCTAAATTGGTGCGTTACCCTGTATTTAGATTTTAATGGCGTCGGCCAAGCCGTTTTGTAGAAGGGGACGTACAGTGCACTCTGTCACATCAGACCTCTGATCACTCCCCCCAGGCTTACCTAAACTGGTGCGTTACCCTGTATTTAGATTTTAATAGCGTCGGCCAAGCCGTTTTGTAGAAGGGGACGTACAGTGCACTCTGTCACATCCGACCTCTGATCACTCCCCCCAGGCTTACCTAAATTGGTGCGTTACCCTGTATTTAGATTTTAATGGCGTCGGCCAAGCCGTTTTGTAGAAGGGGACGCATTTTTAACAGAATGTTTTGTTGCACATACTGACGCTAGCCCGGTATGCAAGGTCTTATTTTCTCACTAAAATGTTCCTTTACTGTCCAGGCGTTCACAGAGACTGACATACGATCGCTTAGCAGTAAAACGTTGCCCCATAAAATCAACTGGGGCCGATTTTAGTTTCGACAAGGATTCAATAGGACGGTTCCTGAACGTGCGGGGCGAGTGTAATGAGACCTACGTTCCGAGCTGAACTAGATCAGCTATTCCCATGATTTTAAACCTCCACATGATTCAAGGGGCGACTATAAATGTACACATGACCTCCCTCGGCTGATACATGTATATTGCAATAGATAACGCGAAACACACCCACAGAATCTATCAAATCAATTTTTCTTTCAAACCATGATTAAGAAATATTATTCCGAAACACTTAAATACAATTAAACATCCGACATTACCTGGAACGACCGACAATTTATCATATTAATCGAAGCGGAGGAGGTAACTATTATCGTTTCAAGCCGAAAACCACCTGTTGAGACATCAATAGTCAATTAAAAAGTGAATTAGACAATGTGCAACGTTGGATTTAACCGGTAATTCTGAAGTTGTGCTCATGTTTTGCTGCTAAACTGTGTTAATACTTAATTAGTTATAATAGAATAACATCGTCTTAGTTTTGAAACGGTATACGTATTAATAAACAAAATGAGTTTGCAAGATGAAATTAAAGGACTCAGATTGTAGCTAAAAACAAACACGCCAGATTTATCTCAATGTATTTAGAGACGGTCTCGTAAGTAATCTTTTTTCAGCAAGTAAATATATTGAGGAGACTGATTAAAACACAACATCACTTAATCCACATTGGGTATGCAATGACGTACAGTAATTTAAGAACATGAGTGCTGATTGACTTTATCACATGCTATAGCCCAAATCTTTAGTGTGTTGTAAGACTCTAACCAAGTTCAACAATCTAGTTGATGTTTTTTATCTCTTTTTTTGCTGGAAACATGCTGGGAATTCTTCAATTGGAAACTTGTCAACACTAAAGCATTTAACAAATTGCTTTCTATTTTCAGCAACGCAAATTAGGCTTTTTACTATTATTTAATTAGAATGACAACTTTACCGTAGGAAGTGTAAGAAAATTATTGTCATTCTTTCTTACGCTTTTTTCTACGGTTAGTCTTCAAAGCGATAGCGCACATTTGCCGTAAACTCAGTTTTTAGATTAAGAAAAACATTAACCTGTCTGGTGCTATCTTATAATAACACATTTTGAAGCGCTATGAGCCAGCCAATCTCCTCTGCATTGTCACCGTTTTGTAATTATATCATTGTAACGTAATTTGACATGTGTATGCAATTCGTTTCCTTAAAGACCCTTGTTGCTCATTTTAGAATTTTTATTAATATACCGCGAGAGTGGGGGTGGGGTTGGATGGCCGAATGGTTTCGATTCCTCGTTTGTAAGTGACAAGAAATAAGGCCGCCTGCCCACCCTCTTGGTGTTTCTCAAGGTCCCCCGTTTTTACCTCACTGCTAACGCTACGCGCAAGCGAATTATTGAAATAAAACTGAACCATGTGTTAGTCTCGAAATGATCAAGTTTGTGTCGAGTAGACGTTAAACCCTATTTCGCTCTCTATTTCTCTCATATAAAGCAATATTGTAATTTTGAAAACATTAAAATCTGACATAAAATCATGTTCCCTGTAAATACTTAGCGGGATTCTTCTTCAGTAGTATATAAGTGTTTTCTTTATGTACATGCCAATGTTGACACGGTTCAATTATCATAATTATGTGCAACTGTAAATTAATAAAACAGAATTAATATTCGTTTCAGAAGAGGGCGCATAACTAATTAGGTAAAGGGCGTATGGCTCTATTTTTTTTAATCTTGAAATAGATAAAAATGGTTCTAAAAGCACATAATATTAATGTAATATGAATGTATGCAAAGAGATTTATATTCCATTTTTGAAAAAAAATATTGTAATTTCTAGTCAATTATGATCGCTGAAATACGTGAACAGTTCAAACTGAACGGCAGATATTTACGCCTGCTTAGAGCATTCCACGTTGTGTTGTAGGATATGTTTTTATGTTCATTACAAAATGACCCCCGAACCATAGGGTACACGAGTCGTGTACTGATTATAAAATGTTAAAGATACATTAGTTAAGAGTTTTATAAAGAGTTGGCCATTCTTGTTATAATAATTCAAAAATAGATGATAAAAAAAGAAAATGTTGAAAATTTCAGTCAGTTTACTTTGATCTGAACGGAATTGTCACTGTTGGAAGTTTGGACTAGAAATAGGCTTCAATTGTGTCTGCACCGTCTATGAGAATTGGCGATCGTTTGATTGACAGGCGATAACTCCATCCACATATTCTCGATTATCAAGTAACATGCTCAATGGCTATGGTAGCCTCGCTTGGCAGGCCTTTTAACGCCAGTTTCCGGTAGTGACATCAGCGACTAACGGTAAACGTTAGCTTGGTCCGCCATTTATTGGTTTAATTTTAAATGAATGACTGTTTAAATCCAAACTGTATCCAAGCCATCCGTGGGTCTACAGAATTGATTTTGAGCTTGTCATGTAAATAAAGGTCTTAATTAATAAATTTTATAACATCTGAAACCTTAATAAAGACTTGCAATAGGCAGATTTAGCTCTTGTATAATGTATCTTTAATTGTGTCTTAAATATTGGATATTAGGATCCTGTAGGTTTATTGACAAGATAAAAACACCAATATTGATTGAAATTGATCAATATTGAATTTTAATTCGTGTTTTTAATTTCAAATATTATAGAAAATATTGAGTTAGAGACTTAGCTCCTTTAATATTAGATTCATTAGTTGATTTGTTTATTGTTATATTTTTGATGGAATTTAAACTAATTACATAAAGGAAAATATTTTCATTCCTACCTTTCTTCCTGTTGTTATTTTGGCAACTTCATGACTTCGTGTGAGGTTTTTATTGTAAAGTAGGATCTGTGATCTATTCACCATGGCATTATTACATTTCTAAATACTTTAATATTTCAACATGGCCATTTTAGTATGCAAGACTCTTGGACAACTAACTCTGTTTTCTAAATAGCGTGCTCCGGCGAAAAGAAAGCATGGTGTAATCAGCATTTACTAGATACATAGGTGCTTAAAGACATAGGTGTAGAAGCCCGCAGTGAGCAAGACGTTGGCTCGCTAACCAGGAGGTCTCTGCAATGGCCGTGAAAGTTCATCGGGTTTTCCGGCGTGGTTCCCCATTGCCAGTGGTGCAGGAGAGATGGAACGAAAAACCGAGGTCCCGTGTACAAATTGGCGTGCACGTAATAAAACATTTTGGCAGTTGGAATTCGATATGAAAATAAAATGAAATGAAATGGGGTTTAACTTCCTTCTGTTCTGCTCCAGGCAAACATTTCCCTCATAGCACACTGTATGGCGTATGCCCGTAAGGACGTTAAGCCCCAATTATTTTCATTTAATTTATGTTGCTGATATATTGGCAGAGCCGCGGTGGCTCAGTGATTAGACACCGGCTCTCTGACATGGAGTTCCAGGTTTCCATCCCGGTGTTGACCGACGAAGTTCCTCTGGATTTTCCGAAGTGGTTTCCCTTTGTCAGTTGTGTAGAATAGAGGGCCTGACAAAGAACAGCGTCTGGTCGTTCGAAGGGAACCAAAAACCGAGGACCCTTGGCGTACACGTTAAAGAAAAGACCCATGGCAGTTGGAATTCGAAATAAGAGTAAGCCGTAGCGTCGTTGTCCGGGCATTATTTCCCCCCATAGCGCACTGCATGGCATATGCCCGTCTTCATTACTCTTGATGTAGCAGAAAAGTAGGACGCTAAAGCCCATTTCATTTCATTTCATTTCATATCCGAGCAAAGGGACCCTTGAACTGAATTATAATCACTTGTATTATCAAACAATATCCCTACATACAAATCCTTCTGAAGCGTGTGAGTGAAGTGTTACCTTAAGAACGGATTGCTTATTTAGGACAAAATATTTATAGATACCAAACGGTAAGAGAGAGAGGGAGAGAGAGAGAGAGAGAGATTTAACGTCCACTCGACATAAACTAGGTCATTTCGGGACTAACATATGGTTTAATTTTATTTCAATAATTCGCTTGCGCGTAGGGGTCTTTAGCAATTTCAAAATATATTTAAATATATTTACCATTTTTCTTATAAATCGTTTACACTGTCTAATTAGTCGACTAATATCAATCATTTTCATTTCAGCTTCCACTTCCTTATTATTTAATGCCTGTAAATTAAAAATAAATCCAATAAATCTTATCAAAAAACTACTATACATTATATAGCCTCTGATCGCCATTCGGTTGATTTTAAACCACTTGAAAACCGCTATAGTGTTAAAGTGTTTTTTTTTTACAAAGACATGATGAATGTGAAACTGGTTAGTGCCACTTATTATTTGTTGCTGAAATCTTTTTAATAGGCCTCGCATTAATCCGATTAAATTCTACCTGGAAGATTATTTACCATTGATATTTGATTTTGAAGCCAAGACAAATTAGAGATTGTTGAAAAAATGCAAATGACGATCATGGATATTAACTAATCGTTAAGCTAACAATTCAAGATATATTTAACTATTTGCAACATGTAAGCAACATCACACACGAACAATGCAGACAATAAACAATAAAATCACGTGAATGTGAAAGAGCTGAGTTTATAGTCCCAGCCCTGCTATAATACAGGCTTCACTCTCTGTACAAACTGCGGAAAAGTAGGCAACACGATTGGATTATAAAATCAAGCGAATGATGATGATGAGTTAGTTGTATTTTACGTCCGCTTCCACCGAAGTGATATCGCAGACAATCACGTGTTATATATTTTTTTAGTCGTCGAATGTGCTATTGTTGCTGATTATACTGTGGATATTAATATCAAAACTTATGTCGCGAGGTGTTGACGTAGAGGGATGGTAGCTGCATTCTTGTATTTCAATATTACTTTCGTTTATCTTTAATGGAGGGGGTCTTGGTTTAGAAAATTCAAAGTCTGATTTTTCTGATGTTGATCTGGCTCCATCCTCTCTTCTTCTTTTTGGAGCTTTTGGTTCGACTGGTGGAGACTGGGTTACTGGTGGTTTATTTTCTGGAACTGTTGGCTTGCTGTTTTGTACTGTCTTTACTGTGGTTGGTGGGACTGTTGGGACTATTGGAGCTGTCTTCTTTTTCTTGTCTTTTTCAGGGGCCCGGAGAGGGCATTCTCTTCGTGAATGGCCAAACTTCTCGCATCTGAAGCATGGAGAAGGTTGGCCTGGTGTTACTACTCGTACTTTGGCATCTCCGTAATGTGCTTTTAATACTATTACTTGGGGTATATCTTTGAATTTCTTGTTCTGGATCTCTATTTCCACTTCTCTTATTCTTTTGTAGACATGGGTGCCCGGGAGTTGTTGGTCTTGGAAGGTTCTCACATGTCCGATGTCACCCATAATTTCTAGGAAGTAATCATCGGAGTATGATACAGGGAAGTCGTAGACTGTAAGGGTGACTACTTTGGTAAAACGTTTGTGGAACTGATATGTTATCCCCATGTGCGTGTGTTTCCCTTTATCGAGGAGTTTACTTTTTACTTCTTTCGTTCTTACATGGATGTGCCACTCGTCTTCTTTTAGGTAGATTGTTAATATGTCTTCCCACTTGCCGAGTAGGTCGATCAGGCACTTCAAGATTCCCCTGTCGGTTAATCTCTCCGTGCTGCTGACGGCCACGTGGTATGATATGCGGCTTGTCTCTTCTTCTGGCACTTGGTAGGTTTTTACTATCGGGTCCATGGTGAATGGGTAACTGGAAGACTGGAAAAACTGGAAGACTGGATAACTGGATAACTGGGATACTGGATCACTGGAGCTCAGGTGTTAACAGGGCGAACGAGTGAAGTGAGTGAGTCTCAAGCGAATGGGACAGAGCTGAGTTTATAGTCCCAGGCCTGATATGATCCAGGCGTCGCTCACTCTACAATCTGCGGAAAAGTAGGCAACATATCAACGCATAAAAGACTTTAAAAGTTTCTGTGAAACTACCTGATCTACATTTTTAAAAAGGAATATAGCGTTAAAGTATTTTTAATGGACTCGAGGGAGTTGTGAAGATTATTTTATCTTCTTGGAGCTTTGTGCACGAAGACATAAATCTCTAGCTGAAAATCGATTCTAAATGATTTAAGATATCGTAAATAAGAGTCCCAGGGGTTTTGCAACATGTAGGACAGAAATGTTAATCATATAGACGAAATGAAAAATGTAGGTTATAGATTTTACAGAAGATCTACATTTTACCACTGCCGTGGGAATACTAGTTTGGCGGATGGATCAATAACGGATGACATTATTAGCCATTTAACGTTTGAACCAACCGTTGAAGATATGTTGATTACATTTAACTTGACGTAATCTACATATATCAGAAAATTTATGGGATCTACGCCTGGAAGCCTAATTAGTTAATCGGAATTTAATATCTTCTAAGTCTAAATAGGTATTTCAAATATAGGTGAAGTGGTTATTGAAGTCTATAACCCTTGACAATTGCAGTTTAAGAATCTTGCCATTTGCACATTTATTAGATTAAAATAAGCTATATTATACAAAGACTAGTGATAACGTATATTCATCATTCGATGCATTTACTTGCTCCACATAACGGTAACAATCGTGTATACAAAGATGTGGCTTTTTACATGTCATATATATTTTTGTGGACAAAACGACACTGTTGTACACTTTTCGTTTTAATTATTTTTTATCCAATGTTTCTCTATTTAATTTCAGAATTTTATAATTTATTGCAATCCTATGTCCAACGTGTTGATGCATGGATAAGGTAACAATTAAAATCTTGGTAACACGATCGTATTTTATGAGTCTTGTTCGCGATATTTATACAAGTGTTTGTAATGTTTCAGATTTATGATAGTGTTTTTTTACGATAAAATTACTGCATAAATTGCTGCTTGTTTTCTTCATATGTATACTTAGGTAATCCGGTATATCAGTTTACACTATAATCAGAGTGTATATATCCCTCGTTATGTCAGCGCCCATTAGTCTTAAAACCTTGGTTGCTGACTTGGGGGGGAAAAAGAGAGAGAGGAAGAGAGAGAGAGAGAGAGAGGGGGGTAACGCCCACTCGTAGGTCATATCTGGACTAACATATGGGTCCTTTTTTATTTCTATAATTCGCTTACGTTTAGGGTTCTTTAGCAGTGGGAGAAAACCCACGAGGGTAGACCCTTATCGAAACCACGCCACTTAACTCAATAACAGTCCTTACGATCAAGTTAGTAGGATGTCGTACATCTTGTAATGGGTTAAGGTAGGACGTTTTAGTGGATATCAAAGTTGACCATATAATGGCTTTATGCAAGGTCATGAGAATAATGGTGGAACGCACGTATATGAGAAAAGTCTTACTGAACAGAGAGTGGGGTGGGGGCTTGTCGATTTGTAAATTGGTCTGTGAACCAATATCCCTTAATTCCAAAGAGTTCAACCCTCTGCGGGGAGTTGACACTTACGCCAACAGGTATACGGATAGAAACGGGTAGACAACACGAGTAATTTAGACAACAAACCTCACCAATAAGTAAAACAAACTAACAAAACAAAGAAATGACAACCGGAAAAAAAGACAAATCAACAATGGTGTTACAAATGAAACATGGGCGCCTTCTCGCATCGCTGCTTCATTATCCATCAAAACTGTACTATACCTCTTTGAACAGATGGGCTGAAACAGATCCATTGAGAGTACGTATATCACAATCCACAAGTTCATTTTTCAAAGTAAAAAACGCGAAAACAACGTTGCTACCATCCGAATAAATCTTCTGTAAATGGTCATCGTCCCTATAAGTTAATATTAAATTATCGTCCAATTTACTATCCACAAGTGATAAATTATTTATAAAGAACAACGCTAGGAAAATATTTGTGAAATCCATGTTGCTCTATTAGAAATTTTAATACTATCTTTGTTTAGTGGAAGACTTCGAGATAACGGTAATAAACAAATGCTTTTTCTCATGCCGTCTTCAGATAAAAATTATTGTATCGTCTGAATACATGTATATCGTTAAAGTGTTCATTTAAATTATCTTATTTGGCTTCACTGCTTTTAATGTTTTCAAGATAAAATATATGAAGAATATAAATGCTACTTGTCAAACATAATTAATTTAGCTCTGACAGGTGTAATAAGATAGCCCGTTGGTAGCACAGAGTTTTAAACTTTATAAAAAATATTTTCAGAATGATAACAATCTAGTACCTCGACTGTAAAGCGCACACGGATATAATTCATATTGTCTGTAAATTTAAATTAATTTCAAATTAACAAAACTAGAAAATGATTAATTTTCTCCATGTTTAAAATCATGTTTTGCTAACTAAAATCTTGTACTTTTGATTAACAATATTTTAATCAGTAATATATCTATACTGTTTGGACAATATGACGGCTCGATATGATATCCGTTTGCAGTGTTGTCAAAAACTTCAAAAATATTTTAAGGACTTCCTTAATAGACAACCCGGTCCATTAAATGCCGAGCAAAACAGATAGCGAAATAGAATATAAAACTGAACTGATTGGCAAGAGAGACACCTAATTATTAGCTACGGGAAAATACCACCGTCACTGGGAAATGGTGTTGATGAGATCCGCGGAGGTATAGACTAGTATGTTGAACCCGTTGTGTTACAAAAATCATTAACAATGTCTCACAACTAATTATGCACACGCAATCATCTCTAGAATTCACTAAATTGTCAAATTGGTATGGTATCTACAGCAATTGATATTATTTACCGTAAAAATCTAAATACAGAAATATCGCTAAATACGAAAAAACCCATCATTAATTACAGAAAAAAAAGTGTGACCTCCTTGGGTTCCGGGTGCCAAGCCTTCCTAGACACCGCTTCCATTGGTTCTTTCGGAAGCCCAGCTCCCAGTAGAGCTCCCCAGACCCTTTCTGGGCACCACTGGAGCTCATGGGTTGCTAATGGCCTTTCCAGACTCCTAATGGTCACTCGCATGGACACCGGAGTACGCCCATTGAACAAATTAAACACCTGTTCTGACCCATCAAAATCCACTGGGGTTCGGGAAAGGGGTTCTAGGAATATTACCCATGGACATTTTCCCCACCCCCTCCCTCTAGAGCCACGCATAAAAAAATGTAGGACATTTCTCACCCATCACCGTGGTCGAATGCCAGATCTCCTGGTTAGTGAGCGGGCGCCTTACTCTCTGAGCTATCGCAACTCCCGTAAAGCGAATGACTTTTCGCACATGCTCCATTCTAATATTTGAGCGCATGTGCAACATTAGAACTGTCGAAATTATGGTCATGTTTGTGTGCGAGCAAGAAATTGCCCCCGTTCATCATGCGACAAGTCAAATCGCAGCGCCCATGGATAAAAGTTTAGTTTAGGCAGGTCACCAGATCACATGCTATTTTATGAAATGTTGTTTAACGTCCTACCGTTAACGTTTAACGTCCGACTGGGCTAATAAAGACGGGAATATGACATGCAGTGTGTTATGAGGGACATTTTGCCCGGACAGCGGCGCTATGGCCTACTCATATATCGAATTCCATCTTCCCGGGGTTCTTTTACGTGTACGCCATTGTATACACGGGACCTCGGTTTTTGGTTCCATCCGAACGACTATACACTGTTCCTTGCCAGTTCCCCCGTCCTGCAGCACTGCCCTAGTGAAACCACGCCGGAAAACATCGCAGAACTTTCTCGGCCATCGCAGGGATGGAACACGGGACCTCCAGGTTAGCGAGCCAACGTCTTACTCACAAAGCTACCGTGGCTCCATGTGATATTTCAGCGTGCGTTGAATGATCAACAAACAAATTGCACCACAAGAGGTTGTTTGCTGGCGTATGCACAACGATGGATGTACGATTTCATGGTGACGAGCAATTGCTTGCTGTCGAATATCATACTCAATTAAAATTGTTTAGAAACCGTTGAAGAAATTCGCTCATGGGAAGCATTGCTTTGAAATTACGCCATACAGCCCAACCTATCCGATATAAATTATGTTATAATGAAATTGAATCATGATGAGTGCTAAATATCACGACGTTTTCTGGGTTATTTGGTTGTTTTTATTATGTCAAGGCCAAAAAGTCCGAAAGACGAATGTTTAGAAAATTCTCGTAACAAAAAACTCCCACCTTTTCCAGTTTGTATACGTGATGAACGCCCAGTGTCACAAAGATTCTTTACGAAAACATCCACTTTAACTGCGCCATAATTTAAAGAAACAAAAAATAGCTCACATTACAGTTGACAAATCTATTATATATGTTTGTTTAGTCACGTCTGCAGCTGTGTTATTCTTTAATCTACATGTTGTTTAAACTTCAGGCACATGTTAATGGTAGTGCATGGCATTAAGTAAAAAAAAAAGCATCATTCGGAGCAAGATTGTTTCTTGAAACCCGAGTTAGGTCCGCTTTCAAATATGAGTTTGTGTGCGTTTTTTGCATGTCCATGTGTACAGACAAATCACTGAAAAATATGGGGAATCCCAGGTAAATGACGTCATAAGTCTGTATTCTCTCATCGATGCAAATGTAATAGGGCCGTTCCCATGTAAGCGTTTCCACGCGCGTGTTTACATACAAACGGTCGCATTACACGCGCGCGGAAACGCTTACACGGAAGCGACCCCATAACATTTTTCGCCGGCGGTAACACGTGTTGTTGTTAATGGGATATTGGTCATTTCGTTGATTGGTTACTTGGTGCTGAGTATTTTTTTTTGTTGGACCAGGAACTGGTCCCCAACCGCTATTAATGTTGGTGCCTAAGGCACCGATCGACATGGATGATTGCACATCGGCTTTTGATTTGACATCAGTATTCAAAGATTGTGACAAAGACGCCATTCTCTATTCCTAATCGACAGTTACCGCTACATTTTGCGTTACAGTAGATGCAAGAATAAAACATAAAAAACTAATAACTACTAAACAAAACACAAAATTCAAAATAAGTAGTTTATGTTCGAAAGAAGTTAGTCTTATTGTACTACATTGTGGCATATTTTCTCGGCACCATACAATTAAATTTTAAGCGGTAACCTGATTCACAAAAATGACAAAAATTTCGGCGTAACCCACATTTGGATTTAATTACTGACATACTATTACTACTATACAAAATTATACAATAGAGTATAATTTGATACTAAGTATAGTTGTGTTACCCCCCCCCCCCCACCACACACACACACACACACACACGGTTAATATGGTGTTTTAAAAACTCATCTTACACATAGTTAAAATGAATGGAATTCTATCAAATAATAGGAAAAAAATTGGTCTAATGAGTCGTCAAAGGGGAGTGCCTCAGCAAACAGTAATATCGACATAACCGTAAGGTGATAAGCTGCCACCTTTAACGATTGATGTTCTTCATCAAATGTTCTTAAACTTGAAACACCATGAACAAACTAGAAGACATATCGTTGGCCATGACTTAAGCTCTGTCAATCCTTCCACCCGTTTAAAAATCCATATACAGGTCTCGTTAAACCTCATACCACTTTTCTACTGGTCTGGTCTAGTCTGGTCTGCAGATTTTAGTTCCTGGGATTATTTTTTAAAAACCTGATGGGATTGTCCTGAGGGGGACAACTATCGAAATTCAGAGACGGGTAGTGTTTTTCCCTACCACTAAAAAACTGTAGATCAGAGGTTTAGCGAAAGAAAATCCACCTTGCTAGCATTGGGAAGTTACAATTAAACCCAAATGCTGAATCGTTGACATGCAAAATATAGTTCAGTTTTCCAAACGGAGGAATCCTATCGGAATTAAATTTTTACACAGTTATTGCTCTAATAAATTCTATACGTAGTTTTTTCCTCTTGCAACTGCGTCCAGGGTATTTTTTTTTCTAAAAAATGTATATTTCAAATAATCCGAGAGTTTGAAAACAATCGTAGAAAATGAATCATAATGGTGTTTGTTATGTGGCGATGGTATCCATATTATCCATGTTAAGTGCCAGAGAAGGGTCAAGCGGCTCAAACATAAAAAAAACTGAGGTATTTGTAATACTGTTATCGGCAGTCTTCATCAAAGAACAATGTACATGTCATGATCGCTCACAGATAACGAGCGGTTTCTATTTATGTTGTTTCTGTACATACTTGTAGTGTTTGGATTGAAGAGGTCTTTGAACTCCCGTCTCTTAACCTACATGGATATAGGTATCTATATTTGAGCACACAATCGTCATACAAAAATAATGAATGAGAGGGTTTTTTCTCCTCGTCGTCAAATGAAACGGGGTTTTATGCCCCACTGGGCTAATGAAGACGGGCATATGCATTACAGTGTGCTATGCGGGATAATTCACATCGACAATACATTTCGTCAGTCGTTTGCAACTCACATATGTGATTTAAGTATTTAGTGTATATGATTACGAGTGCATACATTGCTGAAGGGGGTGGGGTCACAGCATTTCCTTGACTACAATGGGCTTGGGCTTCTATATCATGTAATAAGATTAAGAGTGCGTGCGTTATATCTATAGAGCACCTGATGCCATTCTCATTTGACGATTTCGCATAGTTAATAAATTTAAGTATTTAGCGTATATTATTATGATTATGAGTGTATATGTTGATAGAGATTGAAGATGCGTGTTTAATCTCTTTAAAACATCTGATATCACTTCTCATTTGACGAGTACGCATAGTAAATAAATTTGTGGAGTTCTGCTGCATTCATAACGATTCAACCAATGTAGGCTACTAGCATTCTTCACCGGTTATTCATTTACACACTTTATAGTCAGAAATATAACGGAAATCATACGTTAAAAGGTACTAATGAATACCTAAAAGTAGCTAACTTTGAAGAAATCC